GTTTGTTTTTAATCGTATCTGTTTGTGGACTTTGCTTTTTGCTTGATTTTTATTTTTCCCGCCTGTTCCCTGTTTGTGTCTCACTGCTTCCCTCACATCTCCCTCAGCAGCCTTTTCCAGCATTACTTTCGACAAAAGGTGAGAAGTTTGAACTTTTAATTTGAATTTAATATCAGTGTCTCTGATTATATATGCATTAAAGGAGAAGTTGATCACAAAGGTCTAACCTGTAAAGCAGTGCTGTCTGGTTAAATATTAAATTTTATATTTCAGTTTCATTTCTTGGTCATGGATGATTTCGTAAGAAACAAACTGGTTGAATGGGGGCTAAGTGAGTGGGTGGAGAAATTTAAAGGTAAAGTATTAACGTGAATCCCTGATGGGTACAGATATTGATCCTGATGTGATCTGTTGACTCTGAAACAACATCTGATAACATAGATTCTTGAGATTTTTGTCCATACTGCACAAAATGTTTTTAGACATAAAAGCGAGTTAGATTAAAACTGAAGAGCATTCATCTCTTTCACTCATTTAACAAGACTTTCTCAAGCAAGTTGAGAATAATCTTTATCTCTTCAACTTTATCTTTAACTGCAGATAAAGAAATTGATGCAGAAAGTCTGTATGATCTTGATGATCAAGAAATTGATCATGTGATCACAAAAGCTGGACCAAGAGTGAAATTCAAGAAGAACCTCAGGCTGTTAAAGGTAATTAATTTCTGTCATTTCTATTTTAGTGCATAGAGGTTTGAATTATCTAGATACCGTATGTAGTGGAATTTTTGTTAATTCTTCACTAATTTGGATTTAAAATCTTTTGATTGTGGGAATAACAAAACTCAAATCAGGAAACAGTCATTTCTTTTCAATTGAGTTGTTTTCTTGCCTTAAGATTTAGTATCTATATGACAAATGACATTTTTAATACATGTTTAAGTGCTCAATATTGTACACAGCTTTGCACTTTTTATCTGCAGTGTAAACAGGAGCAAGAAGCAGCTGATTTGGCTCAGGTAAGTAATATAATGAATTTCAGACATTTGGGCCAACTGCCTAAGACAAAGTAAAGCTCCATCCTCTGGCTGATAGAGACTGAATCTAAAAACTTAATTCATCGGGGGTTGGTTAATATACATTTTAACCTAGCCTAGCAACTGCAACTTGCTGTAGGGGTTCACCGACCGTCTCTACAGGTCAGCGTGACTGAGACTTAATTAGGAAAAAGAATAGTCTCACAGGATGAGATGTTAAGCAGGAATGTAATTATAATCTATTCTTCATCAGTCTGCTGGTTGAATAATTATCTCTATAACTAAATTTCATCCTCAGGTCTTTCCATCCACAAGTGATACAGGTGAGACACATGCATCTTATTTATTGCATCTCATTAATCTGTTTTAAAGGCAGCACTATTTTGTACAATCAAACTTTGAGAGCAACTTTCAATGCTGAGAGAAACTTTTTTTTGTTCTTTCTTTTTTGTTTTTGTCCAATCAGGAAAGAGAAAATCAGATCTTCAAAGTGACGCCAGCAGGTTACGACCACCAGCTAAGCGACAACGTCTGTCTGTGGCGGGATTTGCAGGTATTTACATCTCTTTCTGAACAATTTTACAGTTTAAGCCACTATAGGGTTAAATTTCTGTGCAGGACAATTTTTCCAAAATATAAAATGTCTGCGTGGCAGGAATGAGGCATGACGTGACCACAATTCTACGTTCTCCAACATACTTTTATCTATGGTTGCTGTTCTTATACACTTCCACACATACCCACAACAACGACAACAACAATAATATTACAGGATATTACACCATTCTTAACCTAGCGAAGAGTGATTACGATGCCGGTGCAGGTGCTTCTGCCTTCCCTGTCGCGACACCGCCGCCCACGCCCCGCCACAGTCAGTTTCTGCTTTGCTGTTAGAAATTACTTTTTCTTTGGGCTGCTATCAAATTTTAACAGTCAGCATGTTGCATGGTATATTAATGTCTGTCGGTAAGTTGTCACATTATGCTCCTGATATACTCTAATTCACACTTTTTGTGAATTTTGTGAACAAAATTTTTTGTTGTTTTTTTTTTTTTGTTGTTGTTGTTGTTATGAGACTTTACATTGACTACATGCTAGTTTAGAAGTCCTGCCAAATAGTTCTTTACTTTCATGCCCACAGAATCAGTCATACTGTCTGATGCAAAAAGCATCATGACATTTGCACATGCCAGACTACATCACCAAGACAAACTCTGTGCTTTCTTGAAGTGAGTATTAAGTTTTCATATTTTTTAATGAATGGGTGTCTCAAATCCTTTTGGTTCAATATTCAACCATTTATTTCTAGTGTCAGTCTGTTTGATATGTTGGTTCTTTATCTATTTTTAACCTCCTAGGACCTGGCGTCCACATATGTAGACATCACATTTTGGGTTGTCTAGACCAAAATACTAAATTTTGCTCTACAAGGGCCTGATATCCACTTACGAGGACATTTTACTGTCACTGTTCTATCAAAATTAAAACAAATGTCCCATATGTAGATCCCAATTTTTTTAGAAACAAAAATCAGGTAAAAAGAAAAAATCTGGTAATTCTTTGTTTTTACATTCATCAGGTCCCAATCAGCCCAAATAGCAAAGAGAAATTAAAAATGCATGCCATGAAAGAGTTCGGGTTTTCGGAGGTTAAGTTGTACTTCTGACTAACAACAACAGATGTTCAAACCATACAAATTATAGATGATTTAATGATACTAAAGCATTAAATCATCTATAATTTGTATGGTTTGAACATCTGACTTTTAATGTGTATCCCACTTAGACTTAAAAAAAAATGTCATCCAATAGCTAATAATAGAAACATCAGCACTTTTGCTGACAAACAATGAAGCTATGAACCAAAACAACAATAAACAATGAATAAGTGTATAAAACTGAAACATCTAATGATAATTCTTTGGATATTCTATAATGACATATACTATATACTATAATGACTATCACTATTCTTTTATGCATTAGTGATGTCAAAATATTGTTTTAAACCTTTTGAATTACATTTGAAAATGTTTTCATGAGTGAATCGTTTAACCCAAATTTAAAATCTTGATCAACAGGAAAGAAATCAGTGATTTGGAGACAGACAAGAGGGAGCTGGTTGGTGTCTTTGGTAAAACTGGGGCTGGAAAGAGCTCTTTGATAAATGCCATTATTGAAGAGAAGAATCTTTTACCCTCAGGAAGTATCAATGCCTGCACCTCAGTCATGATTAAATTGGAAGCTAACACCTACAGCTCAAAGTATGAGGCAGAAATTGAGTTCATCACAAAAGAGGTAAATTGAATTATAAAAGTTTCATTTTTACTTAAAACCAAATCATGTGTTACAGTACAGTTCTGGGGCCTTAAGGCTGGGTACATGCCTCAATAAATAATATGTAAAAATGTTATTTTAGGAGTGGAACGATGAGTTGTGGTCATTTCATCAGTTTTTTTGCAAAAATGGAGATCACAAAACGGAAGATAATGAGGATTATCATGATGCTGTGGAAAAGCTGTCAGCAGTGTACGGAGAAGAATGGAAACAAAAGTCTTCTGAAAACCTCATGAAGAGCAAATATTTCAAAGCAATTCCAGAATTTCTCCAATCCAAGAGGAAGATTTTGACATGTGAATCAGTAAGACAAAAACTCTCATATTACATTATATCTATCATATATACAGCAAAATTAATTAAGTAGTTGGCTTTTTCACATGTTAAATTTTTAACGACTTTTAAATTTATTCATAGAAATCCACTACTGAGCACCTTTGGCAAAAAGTGAATCAAAGGGGCCAGAAATTTTAGCAAGTTAATGTCTGACAGTCGGTTGCATCAGGAAAGGCAAAAGGGCGTACAACTCTGTCAATCAAAACATGCTGAGTTACCCGCAGAGGTGCCCCCTTTTAAATAAGGGAGCAGTGTAAAGTAGCTTTTTAATGTCCAATTTGTGGACAACTATACAACATGCCCACATAAAGTTGTTTCTGCTAAGAGCAATACTAGTTATAAAGAATATAAAACTTTTCCTAAATAACTTCTTAAATACATTTTAATTGTGGCTGGCAATGATCCTTTTTCTAAATTATCAAATGGTTGATCGTTTTAAACAGTTCAAGAAAGCAACAATTTCCATAGAAATTACCGTTACCCGAATTTCCCCTCAGTACCCCTCAGAGTGGGGGACTGTCTTGGTATAATATAGAACAAGGGGAAGCTACATTATCCCATACTTCTGTGATAGACATACTTGTACACAATCTGATCATTTAAATCTAAACTTTAAAACTAATTACTCAAGCTTTAGTGATCCAGTTTCTTTAATTAATTGTTCTTTTGTCATCTTTTATGTCACTGACTTGTTGATGGTTTTTGTAAAGCACTTGCATTGAGGACTGAAATTAAACTGCACTACTTTACTTTTGTTTTTTATTGCAGGCTAATGAACTCTGTGCAAAAGTTGTCAAGTACACACGAAGTGATTCAAAACAAGAAGAAGGCAATGAAGGAAAAAAGTGGTTTTGGCCACTAGTGAAGTGTGTGACTGTCAGGGTGCCAAACAAGCCTCTTCTCCAGCATGTCACACTTGTGGACCTTCCTGGAAATGGTGACTGTAACAAGAGCAGAGATCAGATGTGGAAAGGGGTAATTCATATCTACTGCTCTTTGCTTATACTGTGTTCTTGTGCAAACAGTAATGTCATCTTTTGATGAAGCATTGAGACATGTTATTCTCCTTTCAGATACTTGGAAATTGTTCTACTGTGTGGATTGTGACTGAAATTAATCGAGCAGCATCAGAGAAAGAGGCCTGGGAGATCCTGGAAAGTGTCAGTAGTCTGATTGGAAATAGTGGCAAATGTCAGCAAATTCATTTTATCTGCACCAAGTCTGATCTTCTTGATGATTCAGATGATCTGTAAGTTAATGTTGCATGATGATCAACTTTTTGTAATGAATGCAGAACATTTGGGTCAAAAGGAGCCTCAGATGCTGAGACAATTTTATAAACTTTACTAAATAAGGTGGAGTGAGTAATGAACAGAGAATTGCCTGGTCAGAAGGAAATTGAGTTATTTAAGAGAGATGCAGACAAGGGTTTGGAACAGCAAGAGGGGCTGAAGAATAAAACAGGAGTAGAAGGAGAAAGAGATGCAATGATGGGATCATGGTAGCTTTATGTATGGGTACAAAATCTATGAGATTATAGGAAACTTCCTAACAAATCATGGTCCAACGAGAACCTGCTGACATGTCTCATAATGCTTTAAGATTAATAACAATAATAATAGTGTGCAAAAGCCACCTAGGCAAAGCTCAGCTTGGTCACAAAAGGAGTCTCCCACAACTCCAACTAAAAGCCAAAACCACACAACCTCCTGCAAACTGATGATGGTGGACAGAACATATACATATATATATATTTCTTTTAGTTCATCAGCTGAAGTCCATGATCTAATCACTGAAAGAAACGTGCAAGCCACGGATGCAATAAAGAAAGAATTCAACAAGCGAAGCAAAATTAGGGTGAGTTTTGTAGCCTGACAGAAAATCTAATGCAAAGACTCTCCACAGTTGCAAGAATGCTTTAAAATCAAATCACATTTTCCCTAGAAACACTTCCCTGATGACAGTTTCAAAGTGTTCACAGTGAGCTCCAAAGAGTTCCTAAAACAAAACTACTTAAGTCCAGAAGAAACTGGTAGGTGAAATCTCCTTCTAAATAACTGAAATGTATAGGGGGCCAGAAGTGACCAAATTGATTAACTAAATATACCATATATTTAAAACATGTAATAAATGATTTATTCAAACGTTTATTTAATTAATTATATATTTGATCAGCTAATTATTGACACATTTAATTAATTATTTAATTATGTATTTCTTACATTTATTTTGGCACTCTTGGCCCTGGCACTGTCTTCATGAATTTTATTTTAGCTGTCAGTCTCACCCATCAACTTTAGGGGGCGGGGCTAATGCTGTTCGAGTCAAAACCATAGCTGTGGCCTGGTGACTACTCTTTAAGTGGGCGTTTCTCTGCGCCAACAAGGACATGTAAAAACTAACTGAGCTGTACTTTGAAAAACCCAGTTTGTGTGTCACCAAATACACTTTAAATATTTTTTTAGCCAAGAATGTAATGTTTTAATCTTCAGATATCTGGTTGGTGTGTCAAGATAGAGCCTATTTGCAAAAGTGCTTCGATGATTTGAAAAATGTCTGTCCAGCCCAGTCTCACGACAAAGCGTGTGATAGGCTGCTCGCAAGTGCTCGAGCTGTTATACCGCTGACAAAACTCAGGTCCTGGTGCACAACTGTCATAACTCCAGCTGACTGGAGGTTGAACACCAACTTCCTTTACTGAAGGAACTCAACTTCTTTATATCTATCGGGTCTTTTTACTCCTGATGTTCCTATGTGCCACACTTGTTTCAGTCGCCAATTCTGAATTAAAACTAACATTAAAATAATGTTTAAGGAGGAGAGAGAGCAAATAAATCTGATGAACTTTGACTTTGACATTCAATAATCAGTGTCACCAGTGCATAAACGCATAATCTTTTTTAAAAGAGATAACGGCGTTGGTGTTTCCCTCATATATTAACTGTCAGGTTTAAGTGTACCAGGCTTGTTAGACACTTTGAAACATACAGACTTCACAATGTTCAACTAATATTTTCATCGTGAATATTAACCATGAAGGTAAACAAGCAGTCCAGCTGCTGTCTTTTAGCCCTGTATACCAAGAGCAAGATCAGCATATCCAGGATATTTTTCAGTGTTCTGGAATCACTGACCCTAACACTGGGACCAGGATAAATGCTCACACGAAGCTGGTTGTCAGCTCTCTAAATTAACCCAGGGTTACCCAGGGCAGGCACAAAGTGTTGGCAGCATCAAATTAATCTAACGATCATATACGCCAGGGGTCATATCGATATTCTTTTACAGAAAATCATCTTTATCAGACTATTTGAAAGACTTGAGAGCTAAAACTTTAAAACTTTAATCAGAGCCAATCAGATTTGCTCAGTTGTAAATGAAACAGTGAAGTAAACATGACCTGACAGACAGAACCAGAATAAATTATGTCTGCTGTTTAACCTCCACTGAGAGCTAAAACTCATCGGAGGTATTAAAGCTGTGTGCCGGTGATTCGATATCAGCTGCTGATAAAGTGGGTTCGCCTATGAGGTGCTCTGTAGTTTTATAAGTGTCCTTCACTCTCCGTAAAAACAGTTTTACAGAGAAACAAGGGAAACAAGCTCCAGCAGCTCTGCGCTCAGGGAAAAAAAATACATTTGATTATCTTGTGCAGAATATTGCTCCGACATTACGTTATATATAAAGCAAGTTATATAAAGCAACAGTGCCCACGTTAAACTGTGACGATAACCAGGTAACTTTTGCAAACATATTCTATGTTGACATCCTGACCTGATACGTGAAGATTACGCCATTGAATTCTCAGATAAAATAATATTAAAAGTACAGTTTATGACAGAAAAACTGGGTATTTTGAAACTTTGCTTACAGTTTAGAGCGCCACCACCATTGCCGCTTGTGTTTTGAAATGCATTCTGGGATACCTGGCTGCCCCAAGTCCACACTATCACCACTTCATAGCAGTCAATTATTTAGGATCGACCTGTCTTGACTTACTTTGCACTGCAACCATTCAGATGTTAGACAAGCAGCAGTTGCAGTGTTAACCCCGCCCCCTGACTTTGATGGGTGAGGCTGACAGATAAAATAAATTCATGAAGACAGAGGCAGGGCCAAGAGTGCCAAAATGAATTAAATAAATACATCATTAAATAATTAATTAAATATGTCATTAATAAAATAAAATTTGAAATAAATAAATGCTTTAAATGTAATGAATGGACATTTAATTGATTATTGAAATATTTATTTAATTAATTCCAATTTTAATTAAATAATGAAACATATATTTAATTATTTAATTGCATTTTTAATTCATTCATTTTGATAATCCTGGTCCTCCACAGGATTGCGCTTGTTTTTTTAGTTTGCCTTGACTAAAAGAAGAATTATTTAATTTCAAATAAGTACGTAATGTAAAATTGTAACATTGAAATTTATTTTACAGAAATACCCAAACTTCAGAGATTTTTGCAAGATCTCAATGACTGTCACTCAGAGACAGTAAACTATGTGAATCGAGCTCAAGGGATTCTGTCTTTGATTCAAGGCGCCAACTCGAGAGGAGTGGTAAGGTCAAGTAAAAGATACACAACAACATTCTCTTACATGTTGGGATTTATCAATTGTGTTTCTGTGTCTGATTTTGGTTTTGCTATGCTATGTATATTCAATTATGAGTTATTAATTTGTTGACTGATTCATAAGGTTTTGATGCTCCATTTTGGCTTCTCAGGTCCTTATTACAGGAGAGTGGCTTTTAAAACCAACTGAATTTCATTAATCTTTTTAAAAAACCCAACAAGTGGTTTTCATGGTTTTATTCCTTCAAATGTTTTTCAGGATAGTAAAAAAGGAGAGGTGTGTGAAGAACTTGAGAGAAACATGAAAGTCCAACTTGATAATGTCAGAAAAGAAATGAAAGACACCTGTAGGGCTTTTGAAAGATGTCTTGATGATGGTGTTAAGAAATCCTTCTTATATCATGTATGTTTTTTAATCATAGTTAAAATACATACAGATTTTACATGACAATGTAAAATGCAATAATTCTGAGTTTTCTTTTGTGTTTCAGGGAAAGAATGGTGGTGCTCTTTACAATTTACGGAAGTGTGTCGTTGAGAATGGCGGCATCTACAAACCAAAAAAAGGGAAACCAATTAACCTTAATATGAAGTTGGCTTCATGTCTGACTGACAGCATTGGTGCAGAATTCAGAAAGACCTTTCCGTAATAATAAATTTAAAAAAAACATGTCGCATAATGTTATCCAGGATATGTAATTCATAACATATAAACTTGCCAATTCTGTCATTATAAACCGTAATGTTTACTTGTTTTAGAAATGAAGTAAAATGTGGAGCATTCAACAGAGTCATCAATACATTTACACTTAACACTGATTCTCTGATTGAAAAGTACAAAAATGCTGAACTACAGCTCAGATTCCTCAAGACAGAGGTAAGAGATGAGACTTTCTTATACATTAGCCCATTGATAAACAATAAGTAAAGTTCATCTATACTTCATGTTTTTCTCTCAGGAAGAAAAGATTAAGGCTAAATTAAACAGAATCATCTGGGAACAGAAGAAAAAAGTCTACAGCAGTCTGGCAGATACAATTGAGAACATTGTGGAAGAAGGCTACAAGAGTAAGAAATAAGATCAGAGCTTCACAACTTATCACTTAAACAGATATTTATGTTTGTTATTATTCAGCATACAAAGTCTGAAGAGTTTTCTGTCTTTTTGTAGAGGCTTTAGCATTTACAGGAGAAGACACACTGTACAACATGAGGGAGACTATTGAGAACCATGTGCACTCAAAGAAGGACATGTTTGAGCAGGCAAAAAATACCATGTTGGAGAAGTTGCATGATTTGATGGTTTGTCATGTTTTATGAAGAATTATGATGAAAATATTTTGTCATAACTCACCTGAAGGCTTTTTCTGTATTTAACTGGAATAGACTTTTACAGAAATGTATGTTTCCATTTATATTTTTAATCCAGTCTGAGAACCTTCTAAATACAACTTTAACACAATATCTTGGTCTGTGGTAAGTGATGAAAAACTTTAAATTTTTAAATTAGGTAGACGTCTTGGGGACTCTGGAGAAAACTATGAAAGAATCTATTGGACTTTCATTCAAGGCTGAAGAGTGCTTACTCCCAGGTAAACAGGACTGTTTGATGTAATTACATTGGTTCAAATTGTTTGCCTTTCCTCTTTATCTTTGCAATCTTGCAGCTGATAACAATAAGGGTGTCTATTTATCTATTTTTAAAATTAATTCATTACTCATTTAGTCACACATTTACGTATGTGTGTCACTCTGGGAGGAAACAATTCAAAAAATGTTTTGTTTTTCAGATGTTTCAACAGAGCTTAAGATGGTGAAGAAACATTATGATCTACTTGTAGGCACTCCAGATGATGAAATATAACTGGGTAAATCCTAAGATTTTATCTTCAGTATGAAATTATTGTTGTTAATTTTAAAAAAATATGTCAGTGTTTTTGTCTTTAATAGACAATAGATTCTGTTTGCTTGCTTTGGCTCTGATGGAGGCGGACACATCTCTCTCCCTCTCCCTCCCTTATCTTTCCTGCTTGGCTTCTCATGTCTTATATCTGGTCATGTCTATCTCTAACCCCAGAAGAGCCTCTCAGTCCTGATCTCTAATACCTAAAGAAGAACTATGAATTTGATCAACTGATCCCTAAATGCAATTGACACTCACTTCTCGATGAAAAGCCTGGGTTCGAGAGAGTTCAACCGTCCTGGAGGGACATTCCCTGCCGGATACACGATGGCAAGAGAAGTGGCATGTCATGTGCCTGGCGGGACTTTTGACTGAGGACATTGAAGACATATTCCTATTTGGAATCATTATAACAGGATTCTTGCTGATCGGAGATGGCTTGGCCCTGGTTTATTGGAAATTGAAGAAAGCACTGACAGCTGTTATAAACCCCAGAAGGCTACCCGCTATGATCAAAGCTATGGGTAGAGCTGTGAGTAGTCAGAACAACTGTAAAATTCTGATTTCCTGCAAAGGCTGTGGACTATTGACTTTTGCTTAACTAGGTGAAAGGACAGTCTCTCAAGCTGAACACAGGATACACATACACATGCACGCACACACACACACACACACACACACACA